GTGATGATGGTGATGATGGTGATGATGGTGATGATGGGGATGATGGGGATGATGATGGTGATGATGGGGATGATGATGGTGATGATGGGGATGATGGGGATGATGGTGATGATGGTGATGATGGTGATGATGATGGTGATGATGATGGTGATGAAGGTGATGATGGTGATGATGGTGATGATGGGGATGATGGTGATGATGGTGATGATGGGGATGATGGGGATGATGGTGATGATGGTGACGATGGTGATGATGGGGATGATGGGGATGATCTGGATGATGGTGATGATGATGGTGATGATGATGGTGATGAAGGTGATGATTGTGATGATGGTGATGATGGAGATGATGGTGATGATGGTGATGATGGTGATGATGGGGATGATGGTGATGATGGTGATGATGGTGATGATGGGGATGATGGTGACGATGGTGATGATGGGGATGATGGTGATGATGGTGATGATGGTGATGATGGTGATGACGGTGATGATGGGGATGATGGGGATGATCTGGATGATGGTGATGATGATGGTGATGAAGGTGATGATGGTGATGATGGTGATGATGGGGATGATGGTGATGATGGTGATGATGGTGATGATGGGGATGATGGTGATGATGGTGATGATGGTGATGATGGGGATGATGGTGACGATGGTGATGATGGGGATGATGGTGATGATGGTGATGATGGTGATGATGGTGATGATGGTGATGATGGTGATGATGGTGATGATGGGGATGATGGGGATGATGATGGTGATGATGGGGATGATGATGGTGATGATGGGGATGATGGGGATGATGGTGATGATGGTGATGATGGTGATGATGATGGTGATGATGATGGTGATGAAGGTGATGATGGTGATGATGGGGATGATGGTGATGATGGTGATGATGGTGATGATGGGGATGATGGTGATGATAGTGATGATAGTGATGATGGTGATGATGGGGATGATGGTGATTTTCGCAACCATGCACATGCCAAGTCACAGGTGCATGAGCACTGCATGGATGGGCATAGCATGGATGGGCATAGCATGGATGGGTATCGCATGGATGGGCATAGCATGGATGGGCATCGCATGGATGGGCATAGCATGGATGGGCATAGCATGGGTGGGCATCGCATGGATGGGCATAGCATGGATGGGCATAGCATGGATGGGCATAGCAAGGATGGGCATCGCATGGATGGGCATAGCATGGATGGGCATCGCATGGATGGGCATCGCATGGATGGGCATAGCATGGATGGGCATAGGATGGATGGGCATAGCATGGATGGGCAGAGCATGGACGAGCATAGCATGGATGGGCATCGCATGGATGGGCATCGCATGGATGGGCATAGCATGGATGGGCATAGCATGGATGGGCATCGCATGGATGCGCATAGCATGGATGGGCATAGCATGGATGGTCATAGCATGACATGGGTATGGCACATGATGGCACGGCATGACATGGATATGGCACATGATGGCACGGCATGACATGGATATGGCACAGCTGCACAACTCACAGTCTGTTGAGATGCCTGATTGCCTCCTCCTCCATGCCTTCCTCCCTCGCGGCACTGCCACCCTCCCTCTCAGCAATGCCACCCTCCCTCTCATCACTTCCACCCTCCCTTGCAGCACTGCCGCCTTCCCCTCCAGCCCCACTCCTGCCTCCCCCCCTTCCTCTCCTTCCCCGCCCTCCTCTCCTTCCACGTCGTCCTGAGATGGATTGAACAGGAGAAGAGCGAATGGGTGAGGATCGAACAAGAGAAGAGAAAATGGGAGAGGAGCGAATTGGAGAAGAGCGAATTGGAGAAGAGCGAATGGGAGAAGAGCGAATTGGAGAAGAGCGAATTGGAGAAGAGCGAATGGGAGAAGAGCGAATGGGAGAAGAGCGAATGGGAGAAGAGCAAATGGGAGAAGAGCGAATGGGAGAAGAGCGAATGGGAGAAGAGCGAATGGGAGAAGAGCGAATTGGAGAAGAGCGAATGGGTGGGGCATGATGGTAGGAAGTACAAACGGGCACAGGGAGAGCAAGGTGGAGCAGATGAGGCCGCTCTTGCATTGATCAAGTCACCCTTGCAGCTGCATCTTATTGCACCCTACTTGGCCGCAGCCGCATTTTATTGCACCCTACTTGGCCGCAGCCGCATCTTATTGCACCCTACTTGGCCGCAGCCGCATCTTATTGCACCCTACTTGGCCGCAACCGCATCTTATTGCACCCTACTTGGCCGCACCTCTCCTTGTTTCACGACACTCCCTCTCCTCCTTTGATGGCTCCTTGATGCTGAGCTCTGGCAGCCTGCGCCCCCTGCTGCTGCTGCTGCTGCCGCCATTGCGGCAGTAGTCGTAGAGCACCTCGTCGCCCGCCCTGAGGTCGCGCAGCGCGTAGATGCCCACCCGGTGCACCCCGCCCACCATCACCACCTGCCATGGCGCGTGCGTGGGAGGGGTAAAGGAACGGGAGGGGTAAAGGGACGGGACGGGTAAAGGAACGGGAGGGGTAAAGGGACGGGAGGGGTAAAGGAACGGGAGGGGTAAAGGGACGGGAGGGGTAAAGGGACGAGAGGGGTAAGGGGACGGGAGGGATAAGGGGATGGGAGGGGTAAGGGAATCGGAGGGATAAGGGGATGGGAGGGGTAAGGGGATGGGAGGGGCATTGCTAGCGGAAAAACATCCAAATCAAAGCACGACCTTGTGCTGAAGCCCAGCCATGGTGCCGCCCAGCCATGATGCCGCTCAGCCATGATGCCGCCCAGCCATGATGCCGCCCAGCCATGATGCCGCCCAGCCATGGTGCCGCCCACCCACGCCCCACCCACCTTGCATTCACAGTTGGGGTTGGTCCGTGAATGGTTGGCAAACTTGAGGGCACTCCCCTTCCACTCCGCATCCAGCAGCTCCTGCCATGCCATGCGCCATGCACCATGCGCCATGCACCATGCGCCATGCGCCATGCACCATGCGTCATGCACCATGCGCCATGCGCCATGCACCATGCAGGGAAGCACATGCAGGGCAGCACATGCAGGGCAGCACATACAGTGCAGCACATGCAGGGCAGCACATACAGTGCAGCACATGCAGGGCAGCAAATACAATGCAGCACATACAGTGCAGCACATGCAGGGCAGCACATACAGGGCAGTACATGCAGGGCAGCACATACAGTGCAGTACATGCAGGGCAGCACATACAGTGCAGCACATGCAGGGCAGCAGATACAGTGCAGCACATGCAGGGCAGCACATACAGAACAGCACATACAGTGCAGCACATGCAGGTCAGCACATACAGTGCAGCACATGCAGGGCAGAACATACAGTGCAGTACATGCAGGGCAGCACATACAGTGCAGCACATGCAGGGCAGCAGATACAGTGCAGCACATGCAGGGCAGCACATACAGTGCAGCACATACAGTGCAGCACATGCAGGTCAGCACATACAGTGCAGCACATGCAGGGCAGAACATACAGTGCAGTACATGCAGGGCAGCACATGGAGGGCAGTACATACAGTGCAGCACATGCAGGGAAGCACATGGAGGGCAGCACATACAGTGCATCACATGCAGGGCAGCACATACAGTGCAGCACATGCAGGGCAGCGCATACAGTGCAGTACATGCACGGCAGCACATACAGTGCAGCACATGCAGGGCAGTACATGCAGGGCAGCACATACAGTGCAGCACATGCAGAGCAGCACATGCAGGGCAGCACATGCAGGGCAGCACATGCAGGGCAGCACATACAGTGCAGCACATGCAGGGCAGCACATACAGTGCAGCACATGCAGATCAGCACATACAGTGCAGCACATGCAGGGCAGCACATACAGTGCAGCACATGCAGAGCAGCACATGCAGGGCAGCACATGCAGGGCAGCACATGCAGGGCAGCACATACAGTGCAGCACATGCAGGGCAGCACATACAGTGCAGCACATGCAGGGCAGCACATACAGTGCAGCACATGCAGGGCAGCACATACAGTGCAGCACATGCAGGGCAGCACATACAGTGCAGCACATGCAGGGCAGCACATACTGTGCAGCACATGCAGGGCAGCACATACAGTGCAGCACATGCAGGGCAGCACATACAGTGCAGCACATGCAGGGCAGCACATACAGTGCAGCACATGCAGGGCAGCACATACAGTGCAGCACATGCAGGGCAGCAAATACAATGCAGCACATACAGTGCAGCACATGCAGGTCACCACATACAGTGCAGCACATGCAGGGCAGAACATACAGTGCAGTACATGCAGGGCAGCACATACAGTGCAGCACATGCAGGGCAGCAGATACAATGCAACACATGCAGGGCAGCACATACAGTGCAGCACATACAGTGCAGCACATGCAGGTCAGCACATACAGTGCAGCACATGCAGGGCAGAACATATAGTGCAGTACATGCAGGGCAGCACATGGAGGGCTGACATACAGTGCAGCACATGCAGGGAAGCACATGGAGGGCAGCACATACAGTGCATCACATGCAGGGCAGCACATACAGTGCAGCACATGCAGGGCAGCGCATACAGTGCAGTACATGCAGGGCAGCACATACAGTGCAGCACATGCAGGGCAGTACATGCAGGGCAGCACATACAGTGCAGCACATGCAGAGCAGCACATGCAGGGCAGCACATGCAGGGCAGCACATGCAGGGCAGCACATACAGTGCAGCACATGCAGGGCAGCACATACAGTGCAGCACATGCAGGGCAGCACATACAGTGCAGCACATGCAGAGCAGCACATACAGTGCAGCACATGCAGAGCAGCACATGCAGGGCAGCACATGCAGGGCAGCACATGCAGTGCAGCACATACAGTGCAGCACATGCAGGTCAGCACATACAGTGCAGCACATGCAGGGCAGAACATACAGTGCAGTACATGCAGGGCAGCACATGGAGGGCAGTACATACAGTGCAGCACATGCAGGGAAGCACATGGAGGGCAGCACATACAGTGCATCACATGCAGGGCAGCACATACAGTGCAGCACATGCAGGGCAGGGCATACAGTGCAGTACATGCACGGCAGCACATACAGTGCAGCACATGCAGGGCAGTACATGCAGGGCAGCACATACAGTGCAGCACATGCAGAGCAGCACATGCAGGGCAGCACATGCAGGGCAGCACATGCAGGGCAGCACATACAGTGCAGCACATGCAGGGCAGCACATACAGTGCAGCACATGCAGGGCAGCACATACAGTGCAGCACATGCAGGGCAGCACATACAGTGCAGCACATGCAGAGCAGCACATGCAGGGCAGCACATGCAGGGCAGCACATGCAGGGCAGCACATACAGTGCAGCACATGCAGGGCAGCACATACAGTGCAGCACATGCAGGGCAGCACATACAGTTCAGCACATGCAGGGCAGCACATACGGTGCAGCACATGCAGGGCAGCACATACAGTGCAGCACATGCAGGGCAGCACATACTGTGCAGCACATGCAGGGCAGCACATACAGTGCAGTACATGCAGGGCAGCACATACAGTGCAGCACATGCAGGGCAGCACATACAGTGCAGCACATGCAGGGCAGCACATACAGTGCAGCACATGCAGGGCAGCAAATACAATGCAGCACATACAGTGCAGCAAATGCAGGTCACCACATACAGTGCAGCACATGCAGGGCAGAACATACAGTGCAGTACATGCAGGGCAGCACATACAGTGCAGCACATGCAGGGCAGCAGATACAGTGCAACACATGCAGGGCAGCACATACAGTGCAGCACATACAGTGCAGCACATGCAGGTCAGCACATACAGTGCAGCACATGCAGGGCAGAACATACAGTGCAGTACATGCAGGGCAGCACATGGAGGGCTGACATACAGTGCAGCACATGCAGGGCAGCACATACAGTGCAGCACATGCAGGGCAGCAAATACAATGCAGCACATACAGTGCAGCAAATGCAGGTCACCACATACAGTGCAGCACATGCAGGGCAGAACATACAGTGCAGTACATGCAGGGCAGCACATACAGTGCAGCACATGCAGGGCAGCAGATACAGTGCAACACATGCAGGGCAGCACATACAGTGCAGCACATACAGTGCAGCACATGCAGGTCAGCACATACAGTGCAGCACATGCAGGGCAGAACATACAGTGCAGTACATGCAGGGAAGCACATGGAGGGCAGCACATACAGTGCATCACATGCAGGGCAGCACATACAGTGCAGCACATGCAGGGCAGCGCATACAGTGCAGTACATGCAGGGCAGCACATACAGTGCAGCACATGCAGGGCAATACATGCAGGGCAGCACATACAGTGCAGCACATGCAGAGCAGCACATGCAGGGCAGCACATGCAGGGCAGCACATACAATGCAGCACATGCAGGGCAGCACATACTGTGCAGCACATCCAGGGCAGCACATACAGTGCAGCACATGCAGGGCAGCACATACAGTGCAGCACATGCAGGGCAGCACATACAATGCAGCACATGCAGGGCAGCACATACAGTGCAGCACATGCAGGGCAGCACATACAATTCAGCACATGCAGGGCAGAACATACAATTCAGCACATGCAGGGCAGCACATGCAGGGCAGCACATACAGTGCAGCACATGCAGGGCAGCACATACAGTGCAGCACATGCAGGGCAGCACATACAGTGCAGCACATGCAGGGCAGCACATACAGTGCAGCACATGCAGGGCAGCACATACAGTGCAGCACATGCAGGGCAGCACATACAGTGCAGCACATGCAGGGCAGCACATACAATTCAGCACATGCAGGGCAGCACATGCAGGGCAGCACATGCAGTGCAGCACATGCAGGGCAGCACATACAGTGCAGCACATGCAGGGCAGCACATACAGTGCAGCACATGCAGGGCAGCACATACAGTGCAGCACATGCAGGGCAGCACATACAGTGCAGCACATGCAGGGCAGCACAGACAGTGCAGCACATGCAGGGCAGCACATACAGTGCAGCACATGCAGGGCAGCACATACAGTGCAGCACATGCAGGGAAGCACATACAGTGCAGCACATGCAGGGCAGCACATACAGTGCAGCACATGCAGGGCAGCACATACAGTGCAGCACATGCAGGGCAGCACATGCAGTGCAGCACATGCAGGGCAGCGCATACAGTGCAGCACATGCAGGGCAGCGCATAAAGTGCAGTACATGCAGGGCAGCACATACAATGCAGTACATGCAGGGCAGCACATACAGTGCAGTACATGCAGGGCAGCACATACAGTGCAGCACATGCAGGGCAGCACATACAGTGCAGCACATGCAGGGCAGCACATACAGTGCAGCACATGCAGGGCAGCACATACAGTGCAGCACATGCAGGGCAGCACATACAGTGCAGCACATGCAGGGCAGCACATACAGTGCAGCACATGCAGGGCAGCACATGGAGGGCAGCACATACAGTGCAGCACATGCAGGGCAGCACATACAGTGCAGCACATGCAGGGCAGCGCATACAGTGCAGCACATGCAGGGCAGCACATACAGTGCAGCACATGCAGGGCAGCACATGGAGGGCAGCACATACAGTGCAGCACATGCAGGGCAGCACATGCAGTGCAGCAAATGCAGGGCAGCGCATACAGTGCAGCACATGCAGGGCAGCACATACAGTGCAGCACATGCAGGGCAGCACATACAGTGCAGCACATGCAGGGCAGCACATGGAGGGCAGCACATACAGTGCAGTACATGCAGGGCAGCACATACAGTGCAGCACATGCAGGGCAGCACATGCAGGGCAGCACATACAGTGCAGCACATGC